CGCCACTGCTGATGTGGACACACCGCGCGAGGTTCTCACCTTCAGGCTGAGTCGACGTAGAGGAGGCCCAGCGAGCCGCCGCTTCAGAAGCTTTCGCGAGCCACTGACGGTGGCCGTGAGCTGGAATCCAAATCAGCCGCTCGCCACCCACAATCCACAGCGCGCGCCGCCTCCACTCGGCCCCGGCCTAAGCGGAAGTAGCAGCGGGGGAGGGGGGCGGGGCATGGGGGGTGAGGGGGCGGGTGACGAGGGGAGGGGGTTGGGGCATGGGGGGTGAGGGGGCGGGTCGCGAGGGGGGGCATGGGGGGTTGTGAGGGGGCATGGGGGGTTGCGAATGTGGAGGGGCGGGGGGGGAAGGGGGGTCACGAGGAGGGGCGGGGGGGGCAGGGGGGGTAGCGAGGGGGAGGGAAATGTCGGGCCATGGGGCGTGGTCGCGCATGGGGAGCAGGGGGGGAGGAGCTCAGGTGTGAGGGGGAGGAGCTCATGGCTCTGACGTCACGGGGGCGTGGTTACTTTGTACCGCCCCCGCGTCTCGTGCCACGTGCTTCCCACTTGGCAGTTTGGCCGTTAGAGAGGCCCGGACAGACCCCAGAGCAGGAGTGGAACCGAGCTGTGGGTGAGTGGTGGCGGTGGTGGTGTGAGTCTCTCTGTGCGAGGCTGTGTGAGTCTCTCTGTGTGAGTCTGTGTGTGAGTCTCTCTGTGCGAGTCTGTGTGTGTGTGAGTCTGTGTGTGTGTGAGTCTGTGTGCGTGAGTCTCTCTGTGTGAGTCTCTGTGTGCGTGTGAGACTCTGTGTGAGTCTCCCTGTGTGAGTCTCTGTGTGTGTGTGAGTCTGTGTGTGAGTCTGTGTGTGTGTATCTCTGCTGTGAGTCTCTGTGTGTGTGTGAGTCTCTGTGTGAGTCTGTGTGTGTGTGAGACGCTCTGTGTGAGTCTCTCTGTGTGTGTGAGTCTCTGTGTGAGTCTGTGTGTGTGTGGAACGGTCGTGGAGCTGACAGCGCGCTGCGCTATGAACCCGGCGTCCCCGAGTTGGATTCCCTCTAAAGGCCAACAGCAGTAACGATTATCTGAACCGGTGCTGGGCCTCCCCTAGATCGACTTAACCTCGAATGAGTACCTGGTGTGGTGTGTAAAGATCGCCACTGGGGAGACAAAGGCGGCCGGGCGTGGTGCTGGCAATCCAACACCCTCGTGTGTCGTGCCGGCCTTCATACGTACTGCTGGCTAACAGCACTTGCCCCTACAGCCTGTTAAGTCTCTACGGGGATCTTTGTCTTTGGTGTCCCATACTGGCAGGGGGAGGAGTGGTGGTGTTAATGTTGGTGGTGTTAGTGGTGGTGGTGCTCGTGATGGTGGTGGTGTTAGTTGTGTTAGTGATGGTGGTGTTAGTGATTGTGGTTGTTAGTAGTGGTGATAGTGGTGGTGTTACTGGTGTTAGTGATGGTGGTGTTGGTGTTGGTGGTATTAGTGATGGTGGTGTAAGTGAGGTGATCGGATGCCATGGTGATCCCCATCTTTAAGAAGGGAGAACGCACAGACTGTAACAACTACAGGGGCATCTCACTCAGTGTGCCGGGAAAGGTCCTGGCAAGGATTATTCAACACTGCCTTACCAGGCATGCTGAGGAGAGGCTTGCGGAGCCCCAATGTGGTTTCAGGAAAGGGCGGTCCTGCACAGATGCCATATTTTCTGTCCGTTTGCTAAAGCAGAGGTGTAGGGAATTCCAACAAGACCTTCATCTCTGCTTTATTGACCTGGTAAAGGCCTATGACACCATCAGTAGGCCTGGGCTCTGGGTTCTTCGTGCTTTCGGAGTCCCTGACCCGCTGCTCACGATCTTTAAGGACCTTCATTATGGTTAGCGGACCCGGGTAAAACTACATGGCCGGGAGTCGGAGCCATTCCCTGTTCACCTTGGGGTGCGACAGGGATGTCCTCTGGCTGCAACATTATTTAACATCTATTTCAACCACGTAGTTCGTGAAGCCTTCAGTAGCATGTACCGGAGGAATTTCCATCTGGTACAGATACAGTGGGAGGCTGATCAATGCCCGGATGCCGTCAAGGGATGGCTCCCTATTGGTCAACCACGTTATGTATGCCAATGACCTGATAATTGCGGCTCACTCAGAGGAGGAGTTGGAGGCGCTTCTGCTAAAACTGGAGTGTGCCACTAAGAGGTGGGGCCTTACCATCAGCCCCACCAAAACGAAGCACCTGTCCTGGGTATTTTGTACCATCGGGCACTCCACCCCCACAACTCCCAATCGGTGATGGGGCAGTTGTGGAGAGAGTGGAAAGTTTCCCATACCTGGGCAGTGTGCTCATGACCGTCTCCGGTTTAACAGCAGAGGTCTCACTCCGAATCAGTCGAGCGGCATTATCTTTTCAGCAGTTGCGTAACGCTGTGTGGAAGCTACCTGGTCTGTCGCTCCACACGAAGCTTCGGGTCTTCTCAGCCGCAGTCATTCCCTCCCTTCTCTACGCTTGTGAAACGTGGACCCCCCTAATGGAACATCTTTGCCAGTTAGAAACGTTGAGGCTGGCCTGCCTCCGATCAATCCTGGGTTTACCCATGCTGGATTGTGTGAGGAGCTCACAAATCCTCGAAAGATCTGGACAAAGCCCCATCAGTGAGCTCCTCCAGCAGGCAAGGCTGCGTTGGCTGGGCCATGTAGCCCGCATGCCCAATCACCGCATGCGCAAGCAGCTTTTATTTCGGCCGGATCGAGGGGGCTGAACGGACGCGGCACGGGCTAGAGAAGAGATGGAGTGATGTGGTACAGCAGGATGTGGAGCTGAGTGGACTTGCCGATAACTGGTACCAGCTGTGTCAAGATCGGCCTCTGTGGAAGAGGCTCGTGAAGGACGCTACTGGGCAGTTGGAGGCAGTCGCCCTCCAACAACAACGGAGAGCGCAGGAACGACGCTCACAACAACGAGCAGAGCGCCGGATGGCTAAAGCACAGCAAGTTGGCACAGTAAGGGGCACAGGTGGTGCATCAGCCAGTCATCTCAGTCAGTCGACCTGTGGCACCTGGGTCTGCCCTGTGACCTCCTGCCAGCGGGCGGGCGTTCGACACTTCACGTGGCCTCAAGGTGCACATGGTCCTGGCACAAGCGTCGTGGTGACATCACCGCCACTTAGCTGGCGAATGGCGGTTGTTGTTGTTGGTGTTAGTGATGGTGGAATTTTTGTTGCTGGTCTTAGTCGTGGTGGTGTTAGTGATGGTGGTATTATTGGTGCTGGTAGTGGTGTTCGTGGTGGTCTTAGTGGTGGTGTTAGTGGTGGTGGTATTATTGGTGGTGGTGTTAGTAGTGGTGTTAGTGATGGTGTTAGTGGGGTAGTGTAGCGGTTAGCGCGCTGCGCTAAGAACCTGGCGACCTGGGTTTGATTCCCGCTCACGGCCAACATTGGTGACGATTATCTGAACTGGTCCTGGGCCTCACCCTAGATCGACTCAGCCTTAAATGAGTACCTGGTGCGAGGTGCAAACATTGCCACTGGGGAGACAAAGGCGGCCGGGCGTGGTGTTGGCCACCCACCCCCTCGTGTGCCGTGCCGGCCTTCATAGGTGCTCGCGGACAGCACTTGCCCCAACAGTCTGTTAAGGCTATACGGGGGATCTTTGTCTTTGTTCTTGGTGTTAATTGTGGTGTTAGTAGTGGTGTTCGTAGTAGTGGTGTTCGTAGTGGTGGTGTTCGTAGTGGTGGTGTTCGTAGTGGTGGTGTTGGTGGTGTTAGGAGTAGTGTTAGTAGTGGTGTCCGAACAGAGGAGCAACGCTCACGACAACAACCTTTGAGCCGGGCATCTAAAATGCAGCAAGTTGGCACAGTCATCTCAGTCAACTCATGGCACCTGGGTCTGACCTGTGACCGCCTGTCAGTGAGCCTTCGGCACTTCACGTGGTCTCAAAGTGCACCTGGCCTGGCACAGGCGCCGTGGTCACATCACCGCTACTTAGTGGCGAATGGCAGTTGTTGTTTTTTGTGTTTTTCGTGTTGTGGGTGACTGGTGAGGATGTGAGTCCGTGTTGATGATGAGAGTCCGCATTGTGACGTGACGTGCGTTTAGACGTGGGTGTGTCACGCCCCTTCAACTCTGCGTGTCCCTCACCTCTGTCTCCCGCTCTCAATGCAGAGACCCGGACTGCGCGAGAGACACCGTGAGCTCTGAGCACCCTCGTCTGCAAGTTGCTACTATGGAGGTACATGTGGCTCCTCGACTCGTGTGGTGAAGTATGGGTAGACGTGTGTTCTCCCCTCTGCGTGTGCCTACCTGTCACCTGTATACCTGGGTGTGCTTCTCCTTGCCCGCCTAAGTGTGTGCGCGTCTATCAGAGTGTCTCTCCGAGATCCTGTTGGTGTACGTGCCCGTCTACGCGTGAGCATCTACAGCGCTGTTATCTATCCACTGATGGATGAACGCCTCCCTCCCTGAGACCCTACTACCCCTCACATCCTGTGATGGAATAATCCAAGCGCCGATTTTGTCGCACCATCTCTCTGGCGGCTCTCCTCTCTGATGTGTTCTGTTCCTTGGTTGTCGCTCCGTTATTATTCTTGACCGTGAGCCATTATTGTCCCTCCTAGCCATGGCTCGTCCGGACCGAGTCCCACTCACTCCTCTTACCAGTTTGAACGATCCCATTGACCTGCGTGTGACCTCGAAAGCCACACGTCTTTCATTGTAAATCCAAGCATGGCAACTGATATTGAACAAATATCCCAACGCTGAGAACTGGCAACATCTCGGCAGGACCCTCCTGAATGTGGAGCCCAGGATGTCAGAGATGCTGGCTCAGTGCTCGCCCACTGCACTTGCTCCAACATCTTAATCAAGCCCATGTGGTGGACCTTTGTCTTTGTGTGTAGATCAGCCGAGCTGGAGAGGCTCGGAGTAACGGCGAGTCTTGCACCACGTGGAGTGCGCTGTCCTCAGCGCGCACCGGCTCCATCCGCAGCAAATCGCCACAAGGTAAGAACAGAAATGAGTGACGTCAAGATGGCCACGCTGAATGGTGGGACATCACGATGGTCATGTTTCAAGGGGGACGTCACAGTGACCATGATGCATGGGGGGACTTCATGGTGGCCATTTGGCATGGGTGATGTACCGTTCGACTTTTGCCGTTCTCTGGTCTAATACCGACGAGACAAGGTCATAAAGAAGGCTGTCTCTGGTGCAGGCCAGTCAGTTTCAAAGACAATGCCCATATATTATCAGAGCATGTTTGTTTGCATATTTTTCCACAAGTACGTGTGGTAAAAGGTAGCTATTTGGTGTTTGAACATATTAACACCTGTTTTTGTGCCAGAAAGGGTAAAAGCTATTCTTATTTCATAAAATCCTTCTTGGCATATCTGTGTTATATTTATCTAATTCATTAACCCTGTTGTCAAACCCAAGCAACCTAAGATGTCCTCAGAGCTGCATATAGCTGGACATCGAACAAAGATGGTCACTGCATGGCACGCTTTCAGATGTGCTTCTGCAGTCATCTGGAATGCTCTTCCGACATTAGGCAGCCATTGGAGCGATGCACTTTTAAATCAATATTTTTTGCGAACTTGTTAGTTTGTTGTCTTTCCCCCTCACTTCTGATTAGCAGGGCTGCCGAAGCAAGGTTTAACATACGGACATAACTGGTATTGGCCAAAACATCCAAATCCCTTGCAAATTCCTCAAATTGGGATCACACAGCAGACGTAATGGCAGCAGCGTCACCCCCATTCTCTGTAAATCATCTGCAGGAACCTCCTGAAAAGGAATCTTGAGACTTTTTGAGGCTGTGCTGCGTAAACGAAAGATCACCGACAGCTGTTGTTATTCTCTTGCCTGCAGAAATCCTGGCTCTCTTTGGCCCACAAATGACCCACCGGGAGAAGCTGGAGCTTGTCGCCATACAGAAAGTATGGTACTTTGCGCTCAGCAACAGATCCCGGGGACACAACAACGATGGATACGACGACCACGAACATCATTACATTCCGGTGAGACTCGCCACAAAGCCCCCGCCGTGGGGGCGGTCACAGGGCGTAGCGGTCGCGGGGTTCGTGGCTTCTTGTTATTGCAATTTAAGCACCAACCAACCAGAGAAAGCACACGTGCACTCTCCCACACACTTCACAATCAGAAGTTTATTTCCCAAGTTAAGCCCATTGAGCTAAAGAGCTTTTTTTTAGGGTGACTCGGCCAGCAGACATCAGAGCATTCCACAATTACAGATTTAAGAAAACCAAACACTTAATAAAAGCAATTATTTTGTAAAATAATGCTCACATGTTGTGATTTTCAAAATATAGTCAGTCTAAATTTGTGTAATTTTGTGCAGGTCCACCATGAGCACCTCCACTACCGCTATGAAGTGCTGAAGAAGATTGGGGATGGAGGTCAAGGCCAGGTGATCCGGTGCCTTGACCACAAGATGAACACCCTGGTGGCAGTGAAGATCTTGAGATCACCATTGAGGTAAGAATTCAGAGTGGTGTCGTCACAAGGACGACGTTGTTGTTACGTCCAGTGCTGTCGGCGGCCGTGTGATGAGGTGGTGACAACTCGTGCCTCACGTAGAGGGTCCCCGGTTCGACTCCTGATTCGGGTGCTCTCCTGTGTGGAGTTTGTATGTTCTCCCCCTGTTCTGGATCAGTTCACTCTTACATTGCATTAAGTCTTCATTTAACCCGGTAGATGCATTCCTGAAAAGTGCCGCGTTAAGGGAAAGCACATTAAGCAAACATAATATCCCCATATAAAATGTAACGATAAAGTTTTGCAAGATATAATACACGCACACAGTGATGTGAAGAGATCAATAACGGAGGGCATGCTGTCACGTCACGTGATCATTCCGCATTCCGCCTACTGTGTCATACCGCTCAGCCTTGCAATTTTATAGCAGGCACATTCCACGTTATAATGGGCGCTTTCCTGCATTAGAACAGAAGCATTCCGGATTATAATGGGTGCGGTCCGCGTTATAACGGGAGCCTTCCACGTTATCATGGGCACGTTCCATGCTATAAAAGGCATGTTCCACGCTGTAATGGGGTTGTCCCATGTCATAACAGGCGTGTTCCGTGTTATAACGTGTGCGTTCTGCGTTATAGCAGCTACATCATGGGACCTCCTTTGCCAGTACCAAAATATACTCCCAAAGAAGGTCCATGATGTAGCCGTTCACCCTGAGCTCTCATTACTCTGATAACGCTTGTCTTTGTGCTGTACGCCTTTTGGCGTCCTCTGGTCTAACATCATTTTTGAGACGAGGCTCAGAAGAAAGCTGTCTCTGGTGTGGACCAATCAGTTTCAAAGACAATGCATATATTATCAGAGTATTTTTTTTGTTTACATTCTAACCACAAGTATTATGGTTAATGCAGACATGATTCCTTGTAAAAGGTTTCAGTTTGGTGTTTTAACATCTTAACACCTGTTTTGTTGCCAGAAAAAAAGGGAAAATCTATTCTGATATTTTGGTACTGGCAAAGGAGGTCCCATGATATTCCACGTTATAATGCCTTGCTCTGTGAGAGCCACATTCAGTCACGACTCAGCTGTGGCTCAGTCTCTAAAACTCAGGCTCAGCTCTCGCTCAGCCGTGGTTTGGCTCAGGCTTGAGCCGCTCAGCTGCTGTTAAAGATACATGAGTGGCTCAGCCGTGGCTTGGCTCAGCTCCTGGGAATCCTGAGTGTGGCTGGGGCCATGCTCGGAGTCGGCTCAATTCACACATTAGGGAATCACTACGTTCAGGCAGCACCCCAAGCCCCCTTCTATCCCTTGCTTATTTGATCCTCTTCTCGATCCTTTCTGGAACCTTCCATGAGCGCGCTACCGGAACTCACAATGCCATTACACTTGGGGAACGTATATTTATTTATTTAATTCGGAATAGGATTTGATTCTGGTCATTCCTTTAGCAAGTCTAAGTCATGATTCATTTGTGGATTTTCTCTGCACAGCTCCAAGGATGATAAATTTCAGAGAAAGGAGCTCCAGATGGCTCTGGAACTTCAGGGCGAGGGCAGTGATGAGGAGTACAACGTCATCAAAGTCCTGAACCATTTTGACTTCAGAGGACACCACTGCATTGTCCTGGAGCTGTTGAAGTACGTACCATGTGTTCCCACCGCCCCCCCCCCCCCCCGCCATAGCGTGGTTAACTTCATTAGCTAAACTAAAACTTTTATTTAACAGGTAAAGCCCACTGCCCTATCAGTTATTTTTCACAAGCGGCCTGGCTACAAATGATAGCTAAAAAAAGTGGCTGATGTGGAAATGTATAGCAGCCAAATACTCTAAACATATGTTTCTAAATGTGGAGGGAAAAACCAGAGAACCCGGAGAAAAATCCACGCTTTGATCCCGTCACGGTCGGGATCAAAGCCCCGATCTCTTCCACACCAGGGGAGGGTGATAACGTCACACCACTGGGGCTAGATGTTACTTTTGGGATTCCTGTGCCACCCACGCATTGCGGTACTGTGGAGCTGTCATGTGTCCCGGGTGCACGAGGCCACTCCTCTTTTCTCAATCAGCCCCGCCCACTTTTATATAGCCACGCCTCCACTCGATCAGCGCAGTGGTGATGCTTGTGCCCCTCGGTGAAAATCCCTGAGTTCGATTCTCAACTCGGACGCCTTTCTGCGTGGAGTTTGTATCTCCTAATGGATAATTCCACCACCCAGAAACAGAGCCAATGAAAGCAAGTGGACAGATGTGCTAACTGATTTGGTTTATCAGCAAACCGATGACCTAAACCCACACTGAGCTATGAATCATATCGGTCGTGAATGTGCAAATATAATATTAATATTGTCGTTATCAGAATCCACGCAGTATTGCAGGGTATGACACTGACGCTGCTTCGTTGTTGTCATTGTTGTTGCTGCTGCTGCCTCTTTCACAGGGAGAGCCTCTATGATGTGATTACGGAAGCGGGGCTCCGGAAATTGCACATGGGGATGGTGAAAACTTACACCAGGGGCATCCTCAAGTTCCTTTGCCACACCAAGGCCAGGAGCATCATCCATGCGGACATCAAGCCAGTGAGTGGACACAGCATTCAGCGTGACTTTGTTCCGGAGTTGTCATTATTGGGGACTCGGTCCATAGAGAAAACTAACCACGTTGGTCACAGGGTCGATGTGTTAGCTCTGTCCGTCTATCTGGAAGGAAGCAGGGTCACGTTACCTCTGGTGATGATCTGGTATGAATTAAACTGTCGTGTAGAGTCGTGTCGCTATTGGGGGATTCACCACAGATAAAACCAGCAATGTAGATGACAGCGTTGCCCCAAACTTTGGGAAACACAAACCGGAGCCGAAAAGAATGATTTTCAAAACGTGCCAAACACGCGTTTGAACTGACAGCTGCCCGTTGTCAGCTTCCATGCTGTGAATTGAAAACTTCCCAAGACAAACGCGCGGTGGAAAGCGTCATGAAATCCGTGCGCCCTCGAGTGTGGTTTTTGGTCCATAACTCGTTATCGGGCAGCTGTGAGCAACTAGGATAAGTTGTCTATAGAGCCGCACCCTTTTACTTAGATGGTGCTTGAGAGAGCTTTAAATGTGATGAGCCTCGACTAACATCGCTCATCTTGACGCATTTGAAAGGGGCACCCCCAGTGGCAGCTGTCAGAAAACAGCGAATGTTGCACTTGACTCAAGGTTGATGACGGCGCTACGCCTCACCTAGTTCCCCTGTTTAGTTTGTACCGTGGTAAGTGATTGATCCACTGCTGGCTGAATGCTATCGGCGTAACCTCCGAGTGTGAATTCCTTCTGCCTTTCTTCCTTTAGGAAAATGTTCTACTCAAGGATACCGTGGCTGGCACCATCAGGGTCACGGACTTTGGCACCAGCTTTTTTGTGAAAAGGCAACGTGAGTAACCTCACCTGGGTGTGAGTTTCTGCGTGTGGGTGTGAGTTTCTGCGTGTGGGTGTGTCTGTGTTCCAGTGTGTGTGTGTTTGCAAGTCTCTTAGTGTCTGTACATGTGACAGTGTGTGATAACGATGATGTTCATGACACAGTGAGTATACACACACACGTACATATATATTTGTTGTTGTTGTGCAGCTCTGCGTGTTGGTGGGACCCTGCCATACCTATCTCCGGAGGTATTGCTGGGCTACAGATTAACGTGTGCAGTGGACATGTGGGCACTGGGCTGCACAGTGGCGGAGTTGGCGACCGGCAGGGAATTATTCCATTCGGACAGCCGCGACGACCACCTCCCGTGCTGCATGGAGGTATTTCCAACTGGGCGTTCACCCGCTCGTGATTCCCCCCTCCTTTCTTGAAGTTGTAGGCTATAGGGGGGGGGGGGAGCCAGGAGAGGGGGGGCGATTGGCTACTTGGTGATCTGGCGAATGGCAGCCATCGTATGTTGTATGTGTGTACACGTGTGTGTCTTGTACGTGTGGGGGGAGCAGTGGTGTAGCGGTTAGCGTGCTCAGCTACAAACCCGGTAATGCGAGTTTGATTCCAATTCACGGCCAACATCAGTGAGGATTATTTGAACCGGTACTGGGCATCCCCTAGTACAAATCAGCCTCAAATGTGTACCTGGTGCCGTGTGTACCTGCTTCTATATGGCCAACCATCCCCTCTCTGTGTGCCACAGTCCTGGCCCTCAACTGGTGCCGCTACTGTTGCTGCTGCTGTTTCTACTCACTACTATAAGCACTTGCCCCTACAGTCTGCTGCGGCTACACGGGTGACTTTTGCCTTTATCTCAACCATGTGCAGATCCTCGGGTTGCCTCCAAGATGCATGATGGATGCAGCTCCTGACGGAATGCACTACTTTGGTGAGTTGAAGGGTGGGGCGAGCAACCGGCCGGATTCAGTGTTAGGGTGTGGCCTGGAGTTGTAGTTTTTTTGGGGGGATGGCCATGGGGGGGGGGGCCTCTTTGTATTTTCAATTCCTTGGGTGAGTGGGTGGGTAAATGGGCGCGTGGGCAAGTGGGTAGGTGGGCAAAGTGGTGGTTGGTGACTGTGTGTCTCTCCTGCTGTGCATGTCTCCTGCAGATCGTTTGGGCATGATGTTCTCCCCAGTCAAGAGAAGGGTGCCAGGGAGCTTATCACTTCACGGGGCACTCAAAAGCCACGACCCGGAGTTTGTTGACTTTGTCAGCTCCTGCCTGCGGTAAGAATCATCCCCCACCCCCTCCCCCCTCCCCATGAGGATTTCTCCCACCAAGGTGATCAACGATCGCCCTCCACCGATCACCAGGAAGATGTGGAGCTGAGTGAACCTGCCGATGACCAGTATCACCGGTGTTAAGATCACCCTCTTTGGAGGTCCGTTAAAGATGATCCTCGGCAGTGCGAGGCTCAGGGCATTTTTAGAGTACTGCGTATTGAAGGATTGCCGCTGCTACCATGACTACCGCTGCTGCTGTGCGTTCCTGGACCTCGTGGGAGAAGGGAAGGAACGTCAATCCTCTCACCACGCCTCTCTCACCACGTGCGCTGCGTGTGACCCCGGTGCGTCTCTCAACAGATGGGATCCGGATTGTCGCATGACGCCAGCGCAGGCGCTGGGTCACAGCTGGCTCCGGACCGTGGCCACCAGCACCACCAGCAACGCCACCGCCACCACCATTGCTGCTCCTGGCAGTGTACAGTGTTTTGGAGCTGCTGAGCGACGGTAAGCCATGAGGTGCTTGTCCAATGTTCAAGGCAGTCCATAGGGAGGTTTGGGGCCCGGGGCAAGTCACAATTAAATCGGAAGTATTACCAACAATACAGGGGTTTTTTTCGGTTAGATCGCATAGATATACATGTGTTGTTAAACTCACCACCACCAAACACAGCCAATTAGTAAGGTGTATCATGTAAACAAAATGTGCCAATTAGTTACTAGATCAGCACACCAGTGTGTTGGAAAGTAAACCCACCACATTTACTATTCGAGTACGACATTTTGCCGGGGATTGCAACCAGCCTCATAAGGTGACGGCCAGAATTGTGGAGAAATACTCCTGTTTCGGTCTTAAATAGTGATAAATGTGAATGTGATGTCATCATTTGTGAGCCAATCTGGTGCGAAAGCCTACGTGTTAAAAAGACATTTTATGTCTGACACCGTGACATCGAAGCACAGGGCCGCCAAAAGCACGGTGCCCGGGGCGGTTTCCCCAGTACACCGTACCCGGGGGACGGCTCTGCTCCTGTTAATGTATTTACATTATAATGTACAATTTCATTGAGGGACTGTGTGTTGTCTTGGTGGGGTCTGGGACTGTTTTGTTGATGTTTTGCTGCCTTGCCCAAGTTTACATTTAGTGTTGAAAATCTGGCAGGATTTTATGTACTTTGTGCTTATGTGCTCAATTTTTTGTGACTTGCTTACATTTTTACACGTTGCACTCCTTTTGTTTGTTGTTGTAACTTGCTGACCCTGTGCCTCGACTGCATATCTGTGAAGGAAGAGCTTCATAGCTTATCGGATGCCTCTTCATCCAGTCTAAATAATGTATTCTGATTTTGGAAACAATGCAGGACAAAACGGGGGGGGGGGGGGGAGGGGGTAGAACACACTCCACATTCCACACGGAGAAAGTGGCCCAAGTATGGGAATCAAACCCAGGTCCCTCTTTGACTGAGTTCCAGCCCTGCCGCCTGCAAACGAACACATGTACAGTTCAAACCCCACGTGTACATTCAGTTATATACGGATGTATTTTTATAATTGGTTCCTTGTGAGGACAAATAATGAGGCAGCCATATCTTTGCCATGTAGCCCTTCATCCAGTGTGATATCGCAAGACTAATGCCCATTCTGTAACCAGACCCACGATGGGCATGGTATGCTGCATTATTGCAGCATCGTTATTAACCTGGTTAATCTATCTCCGCACACAGTTAGTCCGTACGCGGATGATGGTGGGGTGGGGGAGGGGACTGCGATCTCTGCTGTAGCAGGAAGTTGGAACGGTGTCGTGCGCATCTCTTCACAGAGCGGAGCCGGCGCTGCCCCCATCCTCCGCGCTTGCCCTGGCCTCTAAATGGAAGCTGACGGTTGTGGTGGAAGAGGAGACCCTGGTAGAGGAGCTCGTGGTGCAGGGAGAGGAGACCCTGGTGGAGGAGCTGGTGGTGCAGGAGGAGACCCTGGTGGAGGAGCTGATGGTGCAGGAGGAGACCCTGGTGGAGGAGCTGGTGGTGCAGGAGGAGACCCTGGTGGAGGGGCTGGTGGTGCAGGAGGAGACCCTGGTGGAGGAGCTGGTGGTGCAGGAGGAGACCCTGCTGGAGGAGCTGGTGGTGCAGGAGGAGACCCGGGTGGAGGAGCTGGTGGTGCAGGAGGAAGAGACCCGGGTGGAGGAGCTGGTGGTGGAGGAGGAGACCCGGGTGGAGGAGCTGGTGGTGCAGGACGAAGAGGAGATGGGGGGGGAGACAGAGGAGGTGGCGACGAAGAAGGAGCAGGAGGAGGAGATGGTGGTGCAGGATATGGTGGTGGAGGAGAAGGAGATGACAAGGAAAGAGGATCAGGCGATGGTGATGCAGGAGGAGAAGAGGAAGCGAGGGGGCCTGGCCCGCATAGGGAGAACCATCCGTTCACTCCTCCGACGCGCGCTGCTGTGTGGTGGCCGGTCCACCACACAGTAGAGGTGGTGGTCATGGATAGTTGTGAACCACGACCACTATCACCACACCCACTATTACCACACCCACCACATGCACACTCCACACATACACCCCCCTGTGATACCCACCACCCACCACACACACCCTGCACCCACCCACCCCGTGACACCCACCACACACTACACAAAGGGCTAGGGGTTTAGAGGGTTAGGGGTTTATAAAGTTATGGGTTTAGAGGTTTTGGGGTATTTTGGGGATAAGGGGTTTATATGTTTAGGTATTTCGAGGGTTATAGGGTTTAGGGGTTGAGAGTATTAGGGGTTTAGGGGGTTAGGGTTTTAAGGGTAAAGGGGTTTAAAGGGTTAGGTGTTTAGAGGATTAGGCTATTAGTGGTATAGGGGTTTAAAGAGTTAGGGGTTTAGGGGTTCAGAGGGTTATGGTTTTAAGGGTAGAGGGGTTAAGAGGGTTAGGGATTTAGAGGGTTTTGGGTTTAAAGATGTTGTGTTTAAGGGTTTAGGGTAGGGGTTCAGTGGGTTAGAGGTTTGGGGGTTTATGGGTTAGGATTTTAGAGGGTGATGGGTTTAGACCGATATGGTTTTAAGGGTAAAGGGGTTTTGAGGGTTGAGTTTTAGAGGGTTACAGTTTAGAAGGTTGTGGTTTTAGAGGGTTCTCGGTTTAGAGAATTAGGTGTTTAGAGAGTTTATGGGGTTTGATTGTTAAAGGGTTAGTGGTTTAGAGGGTTAGGAGTTTATAAGGTTATGGACTTAGGGGTTTAGAGGTTTTGGGGCTTTTAGGGGGTAAGCAGTTTAGAGGTTTGGGGGGTTTTAAGGGTTATGATGTTTAGGGGTTGAGCGTATTAGGGGTTTTGAGGGTTAGGGTTTTAGTGGGTTAAGGGTGTAGAGGGTTAGGGGATTAGAGGGTGAGGGGTTTAGAGGGTTGGGGTTTTCGTGGTATTTGGGTTAGGATTTCAAAGGGTGAGGAGTTTAGACAGATAGGGTTTTAAGGGTGAAGAGGCTGAGGTTTTTATTTGGTAGAGTTTAGAAGGTTATGGGTTTAGAGGGTTAAGGGTTTAGAGTTACTGTCGGTGTTTAGAGGTTTAGGGGGTTTATGGGTTTTGATTGCTCGGTGTTTTGGTTTACAAGGTTACGAGTTTTAGAAGGTTTTGGGTTTAGAGGTTTCGGTGTTTCGGGGATTAGAGGTTTATAAGGTGAGGGGTTTAAAGGGTTATGGTTTTACAGGTTTAGGGGTTTAGACAGTTTGGGGTTTAAGGGTTTAGAACAGGGGTGGGCAAATTTTTTGACTCGTGGGCCACAATGGGTTCTAAAATTTGACAGAGGGGCCGGGCCAGGAACAGATGGATGGAGTGTTTGTGAACTAATATAAATGTCGTGTAAAAATAATAACATGAAAGGATTTGGCCTTTAACAGGTAGCAAAGCATTTATTTGCAAGGCAATTTAACAAATTGCACGAACATGAACAATACAAAAACATGTCGTAACTCCCGGTCAAAGTGCGCCATCTAATGGGGAAATGGGGGCATTACAGGAGAAAGGTAAAATTTAATTTAATAATATTTGTACAATTTCGGCGGGCCGGATTAAAAAGCCCAACGGGCCGTATACGGCCCGGGGGCCGTACTTTGCCCATGTCTGGTTTAGAAGGTTAAGGGTTTAGACAGTTAAGAGTTTTTGGGGTTTATGGGTTAGGGTTCTAAAGGGTGAGGTGTTTAGACGGTTGGAGTCTTCAGGGTAAAGTCCTTTAGAGGATTTGGTGTTTAGAGGGTTAGAGTTTAGAACGTTTTGAGTTTAGAGGGTTTAGAGAGTTACGTGTTTAGAGGTTTATGGGTTTCGATTGTTAGAGGTTGAATAATGGTTTAGATGGTTAGGAGTTGAGGAGGTTATAAGGGTATGTGTTTAGGGGTTTAGAGGTATAGGGGTTTCAAGGGTTAGGGATTTAGAGTGTTAGGGGTTTAGTGGTTTGAGAGTTTAGAGGGTTTAACACCTAGACTTTCACAACTAATATTGGGTTAGTCTCCAACACTAAATGGCACTTTTTGTTGATGTGACAAATTTTCCTAATTGGCTGTGTCGGGTGGTGGCTGGTTTAACGACACATTTATAGTTACACAATCTAACCCCAAAAAACATTTATGGGTTTAGAGGGTTAGGGGTTTAGTGGGTTATGTGTTTAGAGGGTTAGCATTTTAGGGGTATATGTCTTTTAAGGGTTAGGCATCTAGAGGGTTAGTTCTTTAGAGGGTTGGGGTTTAAATGTGTTGGGATTAGATTAGGGATTTAGGGTTTTGAGGGTTAGGGTTTTGAGGGTTAGGGTTTTAGAAGTTGAGGATTTAGAAGGTTACGAGTTCAGAGGGTTAGGGGTCTAGAGGGTTAGTTCATTAGAGGGTTGTGGTTTAGATTGGTTGGTATTTAGAATATTAGGGATTTAGGGTTTTAGAAGGATAGAGTTTCAAGGTTTAGAGGGTTAGGGATTCAGAGGGTTGAGGGTTTGGTTTTTAATGGCTTCGAAGGTTAGGGTTAAAAGACTAAGGGGTTTGGAGAGTGAGGGGTTTTTGGTGGGTTAGGGTTTTAAGGGTAAAGGGTTTGAGAGGGTTAGCGGTTTAGATGGTTATGGGTTTAAATGGTTAGGGATTTAGATAGTTACGGGGTTTAGAGGTTTAGAGGGTTTTATTTGTTTGAGGTTTAGTGGTTAAGGTCTCTGTGCGAGTCCAACAGGTTTATTTTAGTCTATGGTAAGATAAAAACAGTTCAGTTTAATTTGTATATATTTAAACAATTTTACCTTTCCTGTCGAGTTTTTGTATTGTATTTTTGTTATGTTCTGACCCGCCCGATTGGACGTCTGTGAAAACAGATCGTCATAGCTCATCAGATTCATCCAGTATAAATAAATATTCAGATTAAAATTCTATTGACCTCTGTGCGAATCTATGGATTTCTGTGTGAGTTTTTGAGTCTCTTGAGTGTATGGATCTCTGTGTGAGGCTATTGGTCTCTGTGCATGTCAAAAGGACTCTGTGTGAGTCTATGGGGTTGCCGTGTGAGTGTTCTGTAGGAATGCATGGGTCTCTGTTGGAGTCTATGGGTTTCTGGGTATGGTTGTTTGTGCGAGTTTTACATGCACAAATGGAACTTAAAAAGGCCATTGAGGGTTGCAGAATCCAAGTTGAATATTAAGTTCCCCGCAGTGCAAGCCAGCTCCCTAGTCGTGTCATCAAACAGCCCCTGTAATTCTTTATAATAAAATACGTACTCCAAGAAATCCACACTGAGTCACAGTAGGGTCCTGAATTGGGGATTTTATTTTATAATCGTTGGTTTAATTCGGTTAAGTCACGTAGGTAAAAAAGTAAATTTAAATTAAATAAAAGAAAAAATTAAAACATGATGTTTCGAAGGCAACACAAGCTTCCGTCTTCAGGTGGAAACAGTCACAGCAAAAAATCGCTGCACCAAGTGGCGAGGCTCTGGGAACCTCTGGCTTAAATACAGGTTAAGGGAGGGGGGGGGGGAGCCATGTAGGGGGACCTTGGTGGGGTGAGGGGCTGAGTTAATCCGTCTTTTGTTGGGTAGAGGGTGCGGGGGATGGGTCACTGTGTGTGTGCAATAGAAACGGAAAAAAAATAGAAAAATTAAAGATCGGCAAGAATATGCTGTAAGGGGGAAGTAGAAAAAAGGGAAATAGAAAGTTAAGCAGGAATATGCTTGGTATACCACGACTTGAAATTGCTGTTAGAAATTAGTTGACGTTTGGTATGATTTAAAACGTGCTTCCAGTGGTTGCTTAATTTGAAACTATCCTCTCGGTTGAAGGTATGCCTGTATTTGTATATCTGAATGGCTTGGTGAACACATCTCTGGTCATAACCTATAGGTTTACAGAGAACCTTGGTATCGGAGAAGACAATCTCATGATCACCCATAGCGTTGTGACAATGATCAGCCACAGCAGAAGAATTCGTTCTGCCGTGTTTCAAATCTGATTTGTCCTCGCGAATTCGGTCAGAGACATGTCGCTTTGTCTCCCCGATATAGCAATCACCAAAGGTACAACTCAATTTGTAAACCCCGGGGTACTGTAAGTCAGGAATGACATCCTTCACGGATGGGATCAGATCACGAATTTTGTGTACTGTATTGAACCGGACCTGGATCTTGTGTTTGTTTAGAATTTTGGAAATCTTTTTAGTAACGCCTGCTATATATGGTAGTGTGATGGTTTTGACCGGAGTATCAAGTGGTTGTTTCTGTATGGAGGGAGAAACAGCTTGGCGGATGGTACGGTCAGAGTATCCATTCCTTTCGAGGGCCAGGTGTACATGTTTTAATTCACTGGTCAGGTGGTGTTGGTCCGAAATGCAATAAACCCAATGGTATAAAGTTTTGATGAGATA